CTTTTTTAATCAAATTAACCAATGATTTATTTGTTTTATTGTTTTTTTCATAAAACCAACTCCTAGTTCTATTTATTAGTTTAATGGTTTTCATTCTTTTAATTTATTAATGTCTTCTTTAATATTCAGGATTTATAATTTGCTGTCTAACTGGGGAGTTTTAATATGCTTTTTTTTCCTAGTTGTTGTCTTTTAAGTTGAATTCCCAATTCATTGATCTGCTTTTTCTCTATTCTATTAATGTAAGGATATTTAGAGATACAAATTTCTTCTTGAATGCTGAATTTTCTACATCCCATAAATTTTGGCATATTGACTCATCATTCTCTTTAATGAAATTATTATTTCTATGATTAGTTTTTTTTTTACTTTTTCATTCTTTACAATTATATTATTTCATTTCCAATTAATTTTAATCTATGTTTCCATGGCCCTTTAACCAATGTAATTTTCTGTGAAGGATGCTTTTATGCATTTAGTTGTGAGGTATTTATACTGTAATACATGGTCAATTTTTGTGTAGGTGCCATGAATTACTGAGAAAAAGGTATAATCCTTTCTATTTTCCTGTTAGGGAAATTGGTTTTTAGGAATTATTTGGGAATATTTAGGAATATATAATTAAGAAAATCAGTTTTCTCCAGAAGGATAGTGTCTTTACCTTTTTAAAATTCTATTAATTTCTTTCCCTTCTTTCTTATTTTTGGTTAGACTCATCTAGTTCTGAAAGGGGCATGTAGAAGTCTGACACTCATATGGTTTGACTATCTGTTTCCTACTATAACTCATTTAACTTTTCCTTTAACAATTTGGATGCTATACCATTTGGTGCATAGATGTTCAGTATTTATATTACTTCATTGTCTATGGTACCTTTTTTGTAAAATGTAGTTTCCCTGCATATCTCTTTTAATTAGATCTCTTTTTACTTTTGCTTTGTCTGAAATCATGATTGCTACCCCTGTTTTCTTTTTTTTTTTTTTTTTTTTGCTTCAGCTGAACTATAGTAAATTCTCCTCCAGCCCTTTACATTTACTCTGGGTGTCTCTCTGCTTCAAGTGTGAATCTTGTAAACACCATATTGTAGGATTCTGGTTTTTAATCCCGTCTGCTACCCACTTATATTTTATGGGGGAGTTCATCACATTCACATTTGCAGTTATTACTACTGTTTATTTCCCTCTATCTTGCTTTCCGCCCTGTTTTTCCTTCTCTTTCCTTTCACCCTGTCCATCTTCAAAAGTATTGTCCTTCTGACCACTGCCTGTCCCAATCTACTCTCCCTTCTGTCACCCCCCTCTTTTCCTTCTACTTCTCTATAGAGTAAGATGGATTTCTATAACAAATTTAGATTGGATGTCATTCCTTCTTTGAGCCAATTCCAGTGAAAGCAAGGTTTAAGCTTTGCTCCTCACCACCTCCTCTACCCTCCCCTCCACTGTAAAAGCTCTTTATTTAGCACCTCTTTTATGTGAGATAATTTACCCCATTCAACCTCTCCCTTATCCCTTTTTCCAGTGCATCCATTTTCCTCACCTCTTAATTAATTAATTTATTTATTTTTGGATATCATCCCCTTATAGTCTAGTCAGATCCATGCCCTTTGTCTATATACACTTCCTCTAACTGTCCAAATAAAGAAAAAAAACATTCTTAAGAGTTAGAAATATCATCTTGCCATGTAGGATGAAAGCATTTTAACCATATTAAACCCCTTATTATTTCTCTTTTCTATTTACCTTTTTATGCTTCTCTTGAGTCTTGTGTTTGAGTGTCAAATTTTCTATTCAGCTCTGGTCTTCTCATCAAGAATGTTTGAAAGTCTTCAATTTCATTAAATATCCATTTTTTTCTCCCGAAGGATTATACTCAGTTTTGCTGGGTAGGTGATCCTTGGTTGTAATCCTGGCTCCTTTGCCTTCTGGAATATCGTATTCTAAGCCCATTGATCTATTAATGCAGAAGATGCTATGTCTTGTATTATCCTGACTGTTGCTCCATGATATTTGAATTTTTTCTTTCTGGATGCTTGCAATATTTTCTCCTTCACCTGGGAGCTCAGGACTTTATTATATTCTTGGGATTTTCATATTTCATTCTAGGATCTCTTTCAGGTGGTGATTGGTAGATTCTTTCCATTTCTGTTTTACCCTTTTTTCTAGGACATTAGGACAGTTTTACTTGACAATTTTGTGAAATAAAATATCCAGTCACTTTTTTTGATCATGGCTTTCAGGTACTGCAATAATTCTTAAATTTTCTGTCCTGGATCTATTTTACAGGTCATTAATTTTTTCCAATAATATATTAACATTTTCTTATATTTTTCATTCTTTTGATTTTCTTTTATTGTTTCTTGATGTCTCATGAAGTCATTAGTTTCTATTTGCCCAATTCTAATTTTTAAGGAATTATTTTATTCAGTGAGTTTTTGTACCTCCTTTTCCATTTGACTGATTCCATTTTTTTTAAGGAATTCCCTTCAGTAGATTTTTGTGCCTCTTTGAATGTTTGGCTTATTTTTAAGGTGGTATTTTCTTCATTATTTTTTGTTCCTCCTCTAGAAAGCTGTTGACTCTTTCCTGCAACGTTTTCATTTCTTTCCCCCATTTGTTCCTGCCTCTCTTCTTTGATTTAAAAATCTTTTTTTTTTTGAGCTCTTCCAGGGCCTGAGACCAATTCACATTTGTCTTTGAGGCTTTGCATGTAGATGCTTTGATCTCATTGTCTTCTTCTGAGTTTGTGTTTTCATCTTCCCTGTCACCATAGTAACTTTCTATGGTCAAAGTTTTTCTTTCTTTTTTTTTTGTGGTTTCTCATTTTTCCAATCTTTTTCTTGACTTTTAATTTTATGTTAAAGTTTGGCCCTGATCCTGGGATGGTGAGGGCAAAGCTAGTTCTGGGGCGGAGGGTGTCTATGAGTTTCAGTTCTTCCCAAGCGGTGTAGTCTAAGGAGAGAGATGGTCAGGGCTCTCCTCGTCTGTGCTTCGGTCTGTGAATGACCACAAGCACTCTCTTCTACTCTGGAACTTCGCTTCTGCTGGTTTTCCCCTTGCCTTGTCACTATGGTCTAGAATCAACAGTGGGCAATGCAACAGAGTCTTGTACTTGAGTCCAGCAAAAGGTGTCTTGTCATTTTGTTCTGACCAGTTGTCCCCCTTACCATCTATGGGTTGAGACGTATAGAATCCAGCTGCCAATTCAGTGGTCCCCAACAAACTATTGCTTGCTTGGGCCAGGAATAGTCTGCTACTGGCTGCCTGGTGCATGGGCATGAGACCTTGCTGCTGGCTTGTGTTAGAGCCCAGGGGATCACGCCTTGCCAGGGGCAGTCTGTACTGTACTGTGCTCCACTCTCACACCAGCGAGAAAGACCTTTCCTGCCAAACTTCTGAGTTGTCTTGGGCTGTAAAATTGTTTCACTCCATCCTTGTGTTGTCTCTGCCACTCTAGAATTCATTTTGAGGCATTATTTTAATCTGGTTTGAGGAAGAATTTGGGAGAGTTCAGGTGATTCCCTGCCTTTACTCTGCCATCTTGGCTCCACTCTCCATTCTTTTAATATTTTTCAGGTACCAATGCAGCCCTTAGAACTGTCCATCCTCCATTCTCGTTCATGCTCCGCAACCTTCCCCTGTCCATTCCTAGCCAAATGACTCTATATCTTGTGTATCACTCCTCATCCATGAATTCTCATTGGTAAGATGCCAAAGACAAACTATGCCCACAATATGCCTTTCTCTTGACCTTTGGGTTACCAACGATCTTGGCCCTGCCACAATTGCTGTACAATGTAGTTGTAAAGCATCAGTGGGAGGAAAAGGATGATTGGAAGATGTGCTTTTGTATTAGAGAGCAGTATCCCTTAAAGCACTGCCTACTGTCTCTGTTGCTATCCTTCCCATCCTGCTCCTGTTTATATCTGGGCCTGGCCACTATCTGTACCATTGTATACTGATATAAATATGTTAACATGAAATAATTAAATTCATGTATTAATCCAACTGTTTATTAAGCTCCTGATATCCAGTGGATCCCCTAACCCTGCCCCCAGTTCCATCGATGTAACATTATTTGATGAATTATATTGTAACATGGATGTTTACTTGCAGGTCTTCAAAACTTGGTAACTATTCTTAAAGCATCTTAGAACAGAACAAATCAGAAGGGTTGGTTGGTCAGATTGTAGCCACTGTTTAAAACTTCATAGGATTCTAATGTATTTAATTTTTTTCCACAATAAATAATCACATGAAATACAGGTGGGCATATATACCCCTAAATCTTTGAGCTGTTTCATCCATGAACAGTCAAAGATTTCTAGAACTAGAGGAGCTGGTAAAGAAGGCGGTGTGGTTGGTATAGTGGAAGACGTGTGGGATGTGGAGTATGGGGATGTAAGTTTGAATCCCAACTCTGCCACTTTCTGTCTATGTGATGTTGGGCAAGTCATTTGCTTTCTTTGGGTCTGATTTTCTTCATCTGTAAAATGTGAAGGGATTGGACTAGATGACCTTTAATTGAATGCCCATATGTGATCTAAAATCATCTAGTTCTAGGGTCATAGACACAATCCTGGAAAGGGATTCAGATGCCATCCAGCCCAAACCTACCATTGTGAAGATGAGGGAATGGAGGCCCAGGGAACTTAAATGACTTGTCCACACTCATGGAGGTTACAAACATGAGAGCCAAAACTGAGCCCAGGTCTTCTGATTCTAGACACAGACTCTTTTCGCTATCTACACAGCCTCCAGCACCTTCATTTTACAGGTGAGGGGAAATGACTTGCTAGGGTCATGGAGTCAATAAGAGATGGAGCCCAAACTGGAACCCATGACTCTTGCCTCTAGTCCAGAGCACTTTTGAGCCCACTTGATAGCTCAGAGGTCAAAGAAATTACTAAAGTGATTGGAAACATTTAACCAGCTGGTTACTGGAAATTATATAGGGGGTGATAAAAATAACTCTTATGTTGTCCCTGTTTTTCCTCTTTGTAGCTAGCAAAGCTTCCTTCTCAGGCTCATCCGGAAGTAATATATATTCTAGTTCCAGTGAAGATATGTCTGAAATGGGGGATGAGAGAAGCTATAGTGAGCAAAGCCAAGAAGAAACTTACCAAGAAAACTCAGATTTCAGGGATATGGATGAAGAGGACAAAGCTGAAGAATACCCCCTTTCCCAGGGTGTCATGGATAGAAGAGAAACTGAGTCAAAAAGGATGGACCCTGAGGGAATGTGTGAAGACCAAGAGACAGAATGCCATTCTTCTTTAAAAGAAATCACCAAAAAGAGTGCAAGTGGGGAAGGAAAGGAAGAGGATGAGGATGCTCTGTTGCTTTTGGCCAAGTCTGACAAAGAGATGGGTGATACAATGGCAAGGCTTTCTAAGGTTGATGAAGGTGGTGGTGAGTACAGTCATTGAATTGAGTGGAGATTTTCCTCATGCACAGAAGTTGATCATGGCCATTACCTTTTGTACGAGCATGGGAAATGCACTTGCAGCAACACTGAAGACATGAGATTGTTATTTCCTGTTTGCCTCTGTGCCACATAAATCATATTGTGTACTTGGGGTTGTGTTTGTGTTCTTCTAAGTACTTCAGTCCCACTGGACTTGCCCTCTAAGACTTTGGCACTCACCAACACAGAGCGATTGCCTTTGTAGAGAGAGAAGGTGATGGGATGCAGGCTCAGAGGTGAAAACAACTTAATGACTTTTCAGGGCCATGGCATGAGCCACACATGCCCCCAGTTCCCAAAGAATTCCTATTCTAGTCTCTGACATTTGGTTCAAAATATAATGATTCATGTGGATACAGCCCCTTATCATTAGAAAGTATCAGTTTTGGAAAGAGAAGTATTTGCTTATAACATCAGGGATATCTCACCTGAGGCCTAGGAAATATCTGTGAGTTGAAGTAGTTTTATTCCTTTTTATAGAGGATGAGAAACAACATGATCCAGTGAATAGAAAACAGGATCCCAGTCAGAAAGACAATTTAAATTCCTGCTTCTGATACATACTTACTTTGTGATCTTGGTCAAGTCACATACCTTTCAATGCTCGAAGCAATTCTGAGACTGTTTTGCAAGAGGGGTGCCAATCTGTATTGGTAGATGGAATTTACTCACTGGGAACTCCCTAAATCAGTGAAACCTTAACACACAAACAGATGAGGGAATGTGTGAGGTTCAATGACTTATCCTAGGGCATAGAACCAATATTTGGCAGTCAGGGCTTGTACCCAATCTGACGACATTCCATTGACAAACGCCAAGGCTTCTCTAAGATTCAGTTCAACGAATGTGCATTAAGCCCCTCCTAAATGTAAGGCTAGTCAAGGCACTAGATTTCCACTGGGTGGTTGATTAGCTTTCTCATCTCGGGAACTGACTCTTGGTGTAGGTTATGATTCATTCTATCTGGTGAGGGTGAAGAGTGGCAATGGAACTCAGGTCTCCACTCTACCTTGTCTTTAGCTCAGACAGATTAGATTACTGAAGGATCTAGCTCTTCTCCACACAGGAGGCAAATTAGGTGTTGGGATCATGGCTGAGGTGGGTGATAGGCAAACAAGCTGTTCCCCATCTGCTCTGCTGTAGAGTTGAGCATCTGCATGCCCCAGCAAAGGGGGTAGCACACGCTCTAGGGTTTTTTTTTTCTAAATATAGTTAAAAGGAACAGGCTAAGCAGATCAATGAAATAAGCATCTTTTTTCCCAGAGTTTTGTAATATCTGAGTCAATAATACCATAAACTTAATTTTAGAAATCTGCTTTAAAAAGGAGCTGAGCTTTTCAGTAACTTTGACTTAATTGCTGAGTTTAATTGTGTATTTTTGGATGATTCAGCAAATTTATTAAATAAGGTAGGCTTTGACTTAAATAAGGTGGATGTATTAATTGATATAGAAACCACGTCTTGATTCTTTGATTTTCACTCTAGAAAACTAGATTCTTCTGCCTAATTTTAGATATTATAATGTATGTATATATATATTCTATAATTATAGATAGTATGTGATATACACAAATAATTAAAATGTTGACAATATAGGCTCACATATACGTATTTGAATAACAAAAAAGTATAGATGGTAATATGAAGATAATGGAAAACATGGCTAGTCAGTTTGTCTCGGACCATAGCATCCCAGAGGTAAATATTAGGTTCTTCTAGGATTCATAAAATTGCATTAATTTGTTCTTTCCTTCCTGGCATCCTGGGAAAACATGGGTTCTTGACTAAGTAATGAACATGTTGCTTTCGCTAATTTGGCTGGTACCTTGTCATTAAGGTCTTGCTTGCACTGGCTGAATAACAAGATTTGCTTCTGTGCATATTAGTCAGATGCCTTTTCCTGGACTCTGTCTTGTCCTTCTCCCCAACCCCGACACACTGATTGTGCCTCTTCTTGAGATTTCTTTCCACTTCCATTATAGATATCTTGTATCTACCTTACTTTGCATATTTTCTCCCCCATTAGAATATAAGATCTTTGAGGATATTTTTTTCTTTGCATATTCCCAGCATTTAGCACCTGGCTCATAGTAGGTGCTTCATAAATGCTTATTGACTGACAAGTATGCTAGCCACTGATTTTTTTTCTTTTTATATTGATGAGCTTGTTTTTGTATTACCTTCATTTCTGAATATAACCTCATTCCTTTAAGCCTGGGACTATGAGCTTTACCTTGTAACAGATATGAAGAGAAAACAAAACAGCTCAGGAAAAAAGAAGTAGCAGCAACCACATAGGACAGCCTATATAAGACTCACTACCAAGGCCACTATTTCAGGGAAGCCGTAGCCACCATGTTTAAGTTCCATCTTTACTTTCCAAACTTCTTTTCCAAACCCTTCCCCCATATTGACCCTTTATATTCTTTAACTTCCTTCTTTCTTCTTCTCCTCAGTTTTTGAACCTTGACACATGGTCATTTCAACCTTCTGCCATTGTTCCTGGATGGGAAGTGTCAATCTTCTCCCCACAGCCTAATTTACTATCCATGTACGTCACTGACCAAAGTTCCTCTCTCTGGTCCCATTTGTGCCATCTCCCCATCAGAATGTCAGCTCTTTGTTTATCTTTGCCTTTCTGTTTATATCTTTAACTCTTAACATACTTCTTGGCACATAGGAAGCCTTTAATAAATGACTGACTTTTTCATTTATTCATTCATTCATTCATAGTCCCCCATTTCTGCAATGAAGGAAGGAAAGTGCATTTCCACATCTATTCTCCAGAGCCAAGGTTGGTCATAATTACAAAATATTTAATTTAGTTTTGTCGTCCTCTAGTTACTGTTTATGTTGTTTTCCTAATGTTTGTCTCCACTCAGCAACAGTTCATATGTCTTCACATGTTTCTTTGAATTCCTCACACGTATTCATCATTTCTTGTGGTGCCATAATATTGCATTTACATTCCCACACTACAGTTTGTTTAAACTCTCTTTAAAGAGGTGAGTATGTAAAGTAGCAGTGGTCATGTGAGTACTGGAAGCCAGAAATATCATCTCTGGCATATGTGGTCACCTTAATTTAGAGTCCTTGTAATGACGTGTAAGCAAGCTGTGGAGATGACCGCAGCTTGTACCCCGACTTGTGTCATGGAAGATGACAGTCTATGAGGAACTTTCAATGATTCTTCCAAGCAAACCAGTGTATTCATAGGCAACACAGGGGAGGGAGGACAGTACAAATTAGGATGGAAAATATAAAGTACCGGACGTTAATGATGGTATTTATACAGTGCTTTAAGGTCTGGGGGTCAACCTTCCAACAATGAGATTCTCTGGAATGTTTCCAGCTTTGGAGGATGAGGCCAAACCTTGCTCCATTGGCCTAAAGAACCGTGTCACCTCTATGCCACGGAGGAGAGGGCTATGGATGGAACAACTGAGAAATGACACGTAATGGAACACAATCTCTTTGAGGGAAAGGGCTTCTTTATAGGAGGAGGGGCATTTGTATCCCTAGGACATCCATAGTGCAGCGTCTGGCACACATGACTGCTTCTTAATCAATTGACGGAATGTTAATTGAATGATGCCTCATGGGACAGTGCAGTTGTACTCATGCTGCTTTTAATGTGTGTTCTGAATAATATGAAAAAGAAAAGACAAAGAGCTGAGAGTCCCCAGTGCTCATCTGGTCCAACAACCCCATTTTATAGAGGACAAAACTGAGGCCCAGAGAGGAAATGGGAACTAGGTCATGAGCACACATGAATTCAGCCACGAACCTCAGACAAAAAGTCCAGTGTTCTCTCAACTAACCCCAAAAATACATGTTTTATTTACATAGCATTTCAAGATTTGCAAGGTTGCTTTACAAATATTGTCTCATTTTGTCTTCACACAACCTGGGCAGGTAGGGAATATTATTATCATCCCTATTTTACAGATGAAATTGAAACAGATAGAGGTAAAATGTCTTGCCCAGGGTGATAGAGCCATTAAGTATCTGAGGCTGGAGTTGAACTCAGGGAGGTGGGTCTTCCTCCAACCAGCTGCCACACACACTTTGCTCTGTGGCCATGGAATGTGCTGTTTAGATCTCATACAGATACCTGAGAAAATATTCTATCCAAACTGATGAAATGCTACTTGGGCCAATTTATCAAATTTACATGTCTGTCTATGTCTATCTGTGCCTTTTTTCTATGTCTGTCTATGACTATGTCTATATCTCAGTTTGCACATCTATCATCTATGTGTGTGTGTACACATAAGCATATGTATATATGTGCATGTGCATACACAATAAACATGTGATGTGTGTTATGGTACATGCATGTGTGTATATATATATATTGTGAATATTATGTGTTTGTGCATATATAGATGGATGGATATGTTAATGTGTATAGGTAGGCAGGTATGTGCAGGGGGCCCAAAGTCTTACTGCAGTTTACACTTAAGAAGACTTTTGGGAAACCTTCTATATACGCCTCCTTCTGTGTATACACACACACACACACACACACACACACACACACACATAATATATATATATGTGTGTGCATATATGTATATATATATATATATATATATATCATATTAGTAGGGTTATATCCATGCATATAAACATTTGTGTTCATACATATATATATATATATATATATATATATATACATTTGCATATACAGATAAACATGTATGTTGTAGTCTATTTAATTTTATGATATCTCATTCTAGAAAGAGTGGAGAAAAGACTCATGATGTTGGAACAATTGTTAATCTTTCCATAGAGTTGCATTATTTGACTCTTACAAATGTCATTTGTCTTAAAATTTCCACTTGAAATAAAACAGTAATCTGATTCTGACTGACCTGTCAGTGGAGCTCAGCAAAGCTGAATACTCAGTCTAGAATTCAGGAAGGCTCATGTTCAAATCCCA